GAGTTCTCGACCTTAGGCTAGGTTAATTAGGGTGGCAGATTTGAATCTTAAGCTACGTTCACACTGCAGACCTTGATGCTCAATTTCAATTTTTTTCATATAGCCAAATATATGCGACTTGTATGTGATCTCCTGTGTTAACTGCAGTCATACAACGCAAGTGTCCCGCATGCGCAGTAGAGGACGCAATGGCGTCACAGGCCAGCATGCTCTTTTTTTCGGGAAGTAAACATGGATGGTAGTGCTGGTGCACATCTAGTGATCTTTTCCTACCATAAAACCAGTGTGCGAAATACCTGTCAATATTTGGGGGGGTCCCCATCTCTCAATTGTTTCACAATACCGATCTAAATTTTCTCAATATGCAGTCGACCTATAAAAGTCAAAGTCAGCTTTAATGTTAATTCTTCAGATTCACCAGACATACAAGGACTCGAGAGGACGTTTCTCATTCCCCAACAGTGAAACAGATACAGTGCACAGGCACAACAGATAAGATCAGTTCATAATACTAAAATTTAAACATTCTTTTTCACAATAAAATATAAAATGTACAATATAAAATATGCAATACTTATGCTAGTGCAAAAAGGCAGATGGTAATGGCAGCAGAAAAAATTGTATTCTTATTATTACCAATTATGTAAGATATAGCATTTGTAACAGTAATAATACAAAAGAACAGTAAATAAACATAGAATTAATAGTAGTGCAGGAGACAGTTTGTCCGGAGTGATTTTTTTTTTTGAGGGGGGCTCAGCTTCCTGACAGCTTGGTGGAGGAAGCTTTCTGTGAATCTGGTGGAGTGGGCAAGAGCCTGAACAGACACCCCCAGATTCCACATACTCCGTCAGCGCTCCGCTCCGCCCCACTGACGTACATCTTTCGGACTACTTGTCTTTCATGTAAATCAATTAGAGCTGTTCCACATCCATCGCTACGCCTCCGTCCACGTACATCTTCTCCGTCCGTCACCGACAAAATACGGAGCCGAGCTATTTTTTGCTCCGCTCCGGTCCGGCCAGGTCAAGATCCGCAATTGCAATCGCACCAAACAGGAAAAAGAACATCGAGAAATTCCGGTTCGTCAAGTTAAAATATAGTAGCACCAGCTCTGTAACTAGAAATTATAGCATATTTCTTATATATTCCCCAAAAAAAACTAACAGTTTATTAAAATGATTGGATGCAAACTATTGGTTATTCACCAACCAGGAAGCACATTTCTCATCTCCATCAAAATATTTATTTTATACCGAGGGATTTTATACCGAAGTTTAATCAAATCCATTCAAAATAAACTTCTTATTGCAGGAATAGATGAAGAGATGCTGAGTTTGGAAGTAGAGAACAAACGAAGTTCATAAAAAAAAAGCAGTTTTGAATGATCCTAGTTATCCCCGTTACAAAGATCTACAACAAAAAATGATATTTGGGCAGAAACTGAACATCTGCTGGATGATGGTGGGATTTTTTTAATGCGTCATATTAAATTAAGCGTTCATAGAGTTACAGGAATGAGTGACTTTAATTGAATGCATTTTTATTAAAGAATTATAAATGCCACGATAAACATATTTAATTAATTTTAGTGCCAATCAAGGCCTTAATTTAAAAATAATTAATGAATTCTAATTATTTTTAATGATCGGCGGAAACTTTGGTTCATTTCCGCATGTTTTGCTGCTTTGATTTTAAACATCTCGGGCATGCCATCTACGATCTCCAAGGAACTCACAGCGGAGCGGACGGGAGCCACAGCGGAGGCTGTAGGCTTTGCTTTGCGCAGGCGGTCTGGAGAGCAGCGGGGCGGAGCGGAGTGCTGACGGAGTATGTGGGATTTCGGCGACAGTCAGTCTAGGAAAACACACAATCGCACAAAGACTGTCTGTCTCTGTCTCTCTGTCTGTCTCTCTCTTTCATGCACGCACATGTCCTGCTTTAATCCAGTTTCTGACAAATGGAACTGGGTCGAATTTGTCCAGAGGTCCGTTGAGGTCCACAAACAGGAGTGAAGACCTGCTGTTTTCGTGCAATCTGTTCCGCGTTGCCCTTGTTATTAACTGCGGAAAAGCACATGGCTAATTTGCATGCACGAGCAGGATTGGCTGGCTCCACTTGGCAAAATACAGAACATATTTGTGAATAAAGGTTTTGAATTTTAATACTGGACATGTTGAGCTTAAAAACATTTTAGTGCCCATTAGTGACAAAAAACTATTTTATTTTCAATTTTTTTGAAACAATTTAAGACCCCCTTTAAATTTTGCTTTTGATGCTTTCAGGGGGTCTCATGGGTTAATCGGGGGGGTCGGGCCCCCCCGGACCCCCCCGTATTTCGCACTCTTTGTCTGGGGCCTGTCTCCTTGAGAGGGTTTGGACACTCTTCTACTCTGGAGTTGCCCCATTGGTGAGAGGTACTGAGCAGGAGTGGGCATACTTGTTGCCCCTCATTTTTTTGATCGGTTTTCACTGTTGTTTGAGCTTATGCTCCAAACATCAGGTCAAATTATCCACTCTTTTTGAAGTCCTTAGGGGGTACTGGACAATGCTTCTCCTGGAGACTCCTTTGTGTTGCTGAGTGACTTCGGTGCTCAAGTGGGAAATGACAGTGAAACCTGGTGAGGTATCGATGATAAATGGCCAACGTGATCTGAACCTGATCGAGATTCTGTTGTTGGACTTCTGTGCTCACCATAGATTGTCCATAATAAACCCCCTCTAAACCATGTTGAAGCACAGGGGGGGTTGAAATAGGATTCATTTAGTTGTTTCAACTGAGCTGCACCTGCACATCTTGGACACATGATTGAAGAGAGGGGTGGAGCTGTCCACCTGCCACTATCAGTTGGTGAGTCGACTCCAATAGCAAGGGAGCAAGATGGTCGGATGTGGCAGGCCCAAATATTTTGTGAGGTTTGCAGGGAACATGGAGTGATGTTCCTCTATCTTCCACCTCTGTGGAGGCTTTCTTGGGGAGACTCCATGGCTCCACCATGGGGAGAAGGCATTAGCTGACCGGTGTTTGCAATGGAGGTCGGAGGAAGAAACAATCCTTTTATGGCTAAATTTACAGCATTTCAATCTTAAAATCTCACAGGGAAAGAAAAAGACAATTAGAAGAATTTTATTGATACAATTACTTTAGTCTTTGGCATTCAGACCTCGGCAGAAAACATGAACTTTTTTTAAAAATTGAAAAAATATTTTTTTTTATTTTATATTTCAGTTCAAAGCAGTCAGACTGTGCTGTAGTTCACATTACATTCATAAGGTCATCATGGTTCTGTTCAAAGGTATTGACGTGTTCTATCACTATTACCAAATGTCACATAGCTATATTGTGTGCCACTAATAGATTGTGTCTTATTGACAGGTTGCAGTTAAGGTTAATATCTTTTTGTTCAGTATTCTTTCATTCTTCTGGGTCTGACTCCACTGTTGTACTCTCACATCTTTCAGTTTTCTTTGAGAACAACAATATGAATCCAGCCCCACTGAGTAAAGTGGAAGTAACTGAAGGGGAACTAAAACCTGACCGGAGTGGAGATTCTGCTGATGTGCAGCTTAAAACAGGTGAGATTTAGCAAAATCCAAATAACATATCGATAACATACATTCATTCAGTCTGTTACAAGCCCAGAAGCCAGTGCTCAATCTGGTAACATAGTTTGACACAGAGGAATCTGTTAGTCTGAAACAGGGATGTAAACAAACAATAAACTTACAATTAATGGTGAATTGATGGTTAATTAAATAAGAATTATTCCATCTGATCAATTGATAATGTTCACTTGGAGGCAGTTTCTTTCAGTGTTGCAGTGTTACTTTAGTCCAGTAGAGGGCGACAATGTTGATTCTAAAGCAGAGCTACTGAAGCTTGTTCAATCAGTGGTGGGTAGATAGGTAGGTAGGTAGTTCATTTCAGGTTTACAATCAACAGCCTTGAGATGATGTTGGAGAAACTTATAGATGTGTTTTACTGTTAATTATAGTTCCAAGGCCATCATTTCTGATGCCATAAATCATGGGAAAGGAGCCCAACCAACCCAAGTTTATTCAGACATACTTTCAGTAGATGAGGTCTCTCTATTAAAGCATTTCTGTATGGTACTATAAGGTTTTGAATGTCTACAAGTTTCTTAATAATCGTTACAATGATTATTATTGTGAATTGATGGTTAATTAGATCAAAACTTATTCCATCTGATCAATTGATAATGTTCACTTGGAGGCAGTTTCTCTCAGTGTTGCAGTGTTACCTTAGTCCAGTAGAGGGCGACAATGTTGATTCTAAAGCAGAGCTACAGAAGCTTGTTCATTCAGTGGTGGGTAGATAGGTAGGTAGGTAGTTCATTTCAGGTTTACAATCTACAGCACTGAGGTGATGATGGAGAAACTTATAGATGTGATTTACTGTTAATTATAGTTCCAAGGCCATCATTTCCTGATGCCCTAAATCATGCAAAATCAACCCCAACCAAGCTCTTAAGTTACTCAGAGCGATACATTCAGAGGATGATGTTTCTCTATTAAAGCATTTTCAATGGTTTTTATTATAGAATTCATTATTTTATTATATTCAATGTCAAATGAAAAAACAAATGGAAACATGTCTTTGATAAATCCAGCAACCTGCTTTGAAAATGATAACTGTCTTGATTCTACTATTTAAGACAAAGTAAAAGGACTCCTTAACTTCTATATGAAACTCACCAAGAACAGGCAATAAGACCCACTTTAAATAGGATTTTTTGCACTATATTTCTATCAGCTGTCTCAAATATATCGTTAAACTCCTTTATTTGGCTGAAATCCAAAAGCCAACACAAGCTGTTACAGTTAGTAATTGGTTTCCTGTTTATTATGTGAAAATATATCACACATATTAACATCTTAATGGTTTTGTTCAAAGGTATTGACGTGTTCTATCACTATTACCAAATGTTACATGGCTATGTTGTGTGCCACTAACAGATTGTGTCTTATTGACAGATAACGCTACATTGCTGCCTACAGACATGGCTGGTAAGTGTACCTTTAGCATTGTTTGGTGTAAAAATCTAAGCAAAAACCCAACAGAAATTTCAAAGTGAAATGAAAACCTACAACATAGTGATTGTTTTAATAGACCAGAGCCAGAATTCAGCACAGGAACCATTAAAGGAAGGAGAACCAGTCCAGGACTCCACACCTGAAGACAGACCACAGATCAGTGAGAAACCTTGTTTGTTAATTTTATTCTGATATTTGTTTTTGTTCCTGTCCTTATTTAGGCTGTACATCTATAAGCATTTAGAGAACGGTGGTTTTAGACAGATGGTGTTGGAGGGTTAACATCTGCAGCACCAGCTCCCTATTGATTCATTTAAAACTTTTTATTTTCTTTTTAAAATCTTTTTATTTAGTATTCTTTCATTCTCCTGGGGCTGACTCCACTGTTGTACTCTCACATCTCTCAGTTTTCTTTGAGAAAGACAATATGAGTCCAGCTCTACTAGTTGAGAAGTATACTCCACATGGCAGGAGCTCATGAATGTATTAAACATAGAATCACTGAATGCCTAATGTTAGTTTTATGTGTAATCTCAATGAAAACATAACGATGATATGTTTCAGCAACTGTGAGTAAACTGGAAGTAACTGAAGGGGAACTAAAACCTGACCAGAGTGGAGATTCTGCTGATGTGCAGCTTAAAGAAGGTGAGATTTAGAAAAAAACAAATAACATACAGCTTTCAGTTAGTCTGTTACAAGCCCAGAAGCCAGTGCTCAAACTGGTAACACAGTTTAACACAGATGAATCTATTTGTCTGAAACAGGGATGTAAACAAACAATAAACTTACAATTAATTGTCAATTGATGGTTAATTAGATAAAAAACATTCCATCTGATCAATTGATAATGTTCACTTGGAGGCAGTTTCTCTCAGTGTTGCAGTGTTACCTTAGTCCAGTAGAGGGCGACAACGTTGAATCTAAAGCAGAGCTACTGAAGCTTGTTCATTCAGTGGTGGGTAGATAGGTAGGTAGGTAGTTCATTTCAGGTTTACAATCTACAGCCTTGAGATGATGATGGAGAAACTTATAGATGTGGTTTACTGTTAATTATAGTTCCAAGGCCATCATTTCTGATGCCGTAATTCATGCAAAATCAACCCCAACCAAGTTCTTAAGTTATTCAGAGCGATACATTCAGAGGATAATGTTTCTCTATTAAAGCATTTTTAATGGAACTATAAGGTTTTGAATCTATATAAACCTCTTAATAATCATTTTTTATAGAACTCATTATGTTATTATATTCAATGTCAAATGAAAAAACTAATTGATAAATCCAGCAACCTGCTTTGAAAATGATAAGAGTCTTGATTGCACTATTTAAGACAAAGTAAGAAGGCTCCTTAACTTCCATATGAAACTTACCAAGAACATGCATTAAGACCCACTTTAAATAGGATTTTGTTCACTATATTTATATCAGCCATCTTAAATCCATTGTTTATCCACTTGTTTTCTGCTAAATAAAAAAAAAAAAAGCTGTGACGTAGTATTTTTATATATATGAAAATGCATCACACATATTAAGATCATCATGGATCTGTTCAAAGGTATTGACGTGTTCTATCACTATTACCAAATGTTACATGGCTATGTTGTGTGCCACTAACAGATTGTGTCTTATTGACAGATAACGCTACATTGCTGAGTGTAGACATGGCTGGTAAGTGTACCTTTAGCATTGTTTGGTGTAAAAATCTAAACAAAACCCCAACAGAAATGTCAAAGTGAAGTGAAAACCTACAACATAGTGATTGTTTTGACAGACCAGACCCAGAATTCAGCACAGGAACCATTAAAGGAAGGAGAACCAGTCCAGGACTCCACACCTGAAGACAGACCACAGATCAGTGAGGAATCTGGTTTGTTAATTTTATTATGATATTTGTTTTTGTTCCTGTCCTTATTTAGGCTGTACATCTATAAGCATTTAAATAATGGTAGTTCCTCACTATTGACTCATAAAAGCAACACATATTACATTCATAAGGTCTTTTACTGTTAAGGTTAAAATCTTTTTATTTAGTATTCTTTCATTCTCCTGGGGCTGACTCCACTGTTGTACTCTCACATCTCTCAGTTTTCTTTGAGAACAACAATATGAATCCAGCCCTACTAGTTGAGAAGTATACTCCACATGGCAGGAGCTCATGAATGTATTAAACATAGAATCACTGAATGCCTAATGTTAGTTTTATGTGTAATCTCAATGAAAACATAACGATGATATGTTTCAGCAACTGTGAGTAAACTGGAAGTAACTGAAGGGGAACTAAAACCTGACCAGAGTGGAGATTCTGCTGATGTGCAGCTTAAAGAAGGTGAGATTTAGAAAAAAACAAATAACATACAGCTTTCAGTTAGTCTGTTACAAGCCCAGAAGCCAGTGCTCAAACTGGTAACACAGTTTAACACAGATGAATCTATTTGTCTGAAACAGGGATGTAAACAAACAATAAACTTACAATTAATTGTCAATTGATGGTTAATTAGATAAAAAACATTCCATCTGATCAATTGATAATGTTCACTTGGAGGCAGTTTCTCTCAGTGTTGCAGTGTTACCTTAGTCCAGTAGAGGGCGACAACGTTGAATCTAAAGCAGAGCTACTGAAGCTTGTTCATTCAGTGGTGGGTAGATAGGTAGGTAGGTAGTTCATTTCAGGTTTACAATCTACAGCCTTGAGATGATGATGGAGAAACTTATAGATGTGGTTTACTGTTAATTATAGTTCCAAGGCCATCATTTCTGATGCCGTAATTCATGCAAAATCAACCCCAACCAAGTTCTTAAGTTATTCAGAGCGATACATTCAGAGGATAATGTTTCTCTATTAAAGCATTTTTAATGGAACTATAAGGTTTTGAATCTATATAAACCTCTTAATAATCATTTTTTATAGAACTCATTATGTTATTATATTCAATGTCAAATGAAAAAACTAATTGATAAATCCAGCAACCTGCTTTGAAAATGATAAGAGTCTTGATTGCACTATTTAAGACAAAGTAAGAAGGCTCCTTAACTTCCATATGAAACTTACCAAGAACATGCATTAAGACCCACTTTAAATAGGATTTTGTTCACTATATTTATATCAGCCATCTTAAATCCATTGTTTATCCACTTGTTTTCTGCTAAATAAAAAAAAAAAAAGCTGTGACGTAGTATTTTTATATATATGAAAATGCATCACACATATTAAGATCATCATGGATCTGTTCAAAGGTATTGACGTGTTCTATCACTATTACCAAATGTTACATGGCTATGTTGTGTGCCACTAACAGATTGTGTCTTATTGACAGATAACGCTACATTGCTGAGTGTAGACATGGCTGGTAAGTGTACCTTTAGCATTGTTTGGTGTAAAAATCTAAACAAAACCCCAACAGAAATGTCAAAGTGAAGTGAAAACCTACAACATAGTGATTGTTTTGACAGACCAGACCCAGAATTCAGCACAGGAACCATTAAAGGAAGGAGAACCAGTCCAGGACTCCACACCTGAAGACAGACCACAGATCAGTGAGGAATCTGGTTTGTTAATTTTATTATGATATTTGTTTTTGTTCCTGTCCTTATTTAGGCTGTACATCTATAAGCATTTAAATAATGGTAGTTCCTCACTATTGACTCATAAAAGCAACACATATTACATTCATAAGGTCTTTTACTGTTAAGGTTAAAATCTTTTTATTTAGTATTCTTTCATTCTCCTGGGGCTGACTCCACTGTTGTACTCTCACATCTCTCAGTTTTCTTTGAGAACAACAATATGAATCCAGCCCTACTAGTTGAGAAGTATACTCCACATGGCAGGAGCTCATGAATGTATTAAACATAGAATCACTGAATGCCTAATGTTAGATTTATGTGTAATCTCAGAGAAAACATAACAATGATATGTTTCATCAGCTGTAAGTAAACTGAAAGTAACTGAAGGGGAACTAACACCTGACCAGAGTGGAGATTCTGCTGATGTGCAGCTTAAAGAAGGTGAGATTTAGAAAAAAAACCAAATAACATACAGCTTTTAATTAGTCTGTTACAAGCCCAGAAGCCAGTGCTCAAACTGGTAACACAGTTTAACACATAGGAATCTATTCGTCCTAAATAGGGATGTAAACAAACAATAAACTTACAATTAATTGTCAATTGATGGTTAATTAGATAAAAATTATCCCATCTGATCAATTGATAATGTTCACTTGGAGGCATTTTCTTTCAGTGTTGCAATGTTACCTTAGTCCAGTAGAGGGCGACAATATTGATTCTAAAGCAGAGCTACTGAAGCTTGTTCATTCAGTGGTGGGTAGATAGGTAGGTAGGTCGTTCATTTCAGGTTTACAATCTACAGCATTGAGGTGATGATGGTGAAACTTTTAGATGTGTTTTACTGTTAATTATAGTTCCAAGGCCATCATTTCGGATGCCGTAAATCATGGGAAAGGAGCTCAACCAAGTTCTGAGGTTATTCAGAGACATACTTTCAGCAGATTAAATAGATTTAATCTGAATCTGTGTAATCTGAAAATAATTGCACTATTTCTTCATGTACTTTAAATAGAAGTAAATAAAATGACCCTCTCTCGCTCATATTAAACAAGTAATCTTATGTCCTGTCAACTGAGTTTTAGAATCCTTTCCCTATAAATATTTAATAATCTGTTAAAAAGTGATGATCATTCTTTAATAAGATCCTTGTCAAACGGACATGTAATGTTTGTTTTTAAAGCCTAATGTGTATAACGGACCTAGTGAATGATATATACATTTTTTTTTATGCACAAAACTATGACAAAAATCAAACTTAATCAAGAAATAAAACAGTGTGATTGGCTGTAAGGGGATCGGAGACAGAGGAAAACCTGCTACTGAACAGGTTAGCTCTGGGGAGAATGTTACTACGGTAACTGAAACAGAGGTTGAGGAAACTGTCTTCGTGAAATGAGTTTCCCTGTTTTCAGGTTTACAAAATTTTTTGATGAAGTCTTTGGTGAACCTGATTCATGAAACGTACCTCAGTACAGGAATCACGCATTGTTATGCAATATCAGACCAGAGTGGAAATTCTGCTGTACTAAAAGTTTTTAGTGTTTCTCTGCTTCAGCACAGCTAATTCCCCTCATGGGGTCAAGGCATTCAGCCCCACTAGAAGCAGTATGTCCACTGGAAAAATCTAAATCTAGATAAGTCAATTTTTCTTAAATTAAGTGCATTCGTTCTTGAATTTAGGAGGTAAGTGAGACACTTTGCCAATGGAACAAGACAATTTACATTTGAAATAAGAAAAAAAATATTGCATTGCCTTATTTCAAGTGCATATTATATAATTCTCTTGTTTTAAGAGTAAAAATGCTAAATCCATTGGCAGATCATCTTATTTACATACTCAAATTAAGGGTAAATACACTCTTATACTCTTTTACTTACTTTCTAGATTGTTTTTGCAGTGTCTGCACAAGTTGCTTTTGGCCCCACAATGTATCAAATAAAGTACCAACACAAACTCACAGTCACATTCCAGGATATGACATTTACGTTACCCCAATTAATGACGCTACAAAAAAGTGGCACTCATTAATTAATAGCAAAGGATTTTCAGGTACAATATGCTTTAACTATTCCTAGAATTGATAATACCTCCCTATATACCCTTGGTCCTAGCTATGTATGCTGATATAAGCTGCTTTTTGTTTTCTAAATCTTACTACAGGAGAGAAGATCGAGGCAAGACCTGGTGATAAAGTAAGAGGAACTATAACCTTATTAAGATGCATTTTTTTGGAGGTAGACTTGATTTGATTCATTTAAAAAATGTTAAACTGAATAAAGTAATGTAGGAATGTCAACAGACTGACAAGATTTGATCCAACTATTGTAATGAAAATGTTGATTTAATTCAATTTAGTTACATTACATGATATTCTAGTGAATTAATTGGCTTACAAAAGCCCAACAAAAAAGAAACAGATTATAACAAAATAATGTGATGCCTGTGTGCAGTGTTTATTGCCAACAACCAACTTGCAACACTGGTCAAAGGGCCAGTGCTGCAAGTTCAATTTCAAGATATCATATAAGACATTGAAACTCAGTATTCAAATTATAGTTTCTTATTTTTTCATTTATCATGTTATCAATTTGTGAACTTTAATTTAGATATCCTTTGTTTTTCTAATCAGAAATTATTGTTTACACTTAATTCCAAAAGCTGATTGATACATCAGCCAGATAATATTTGGGGCCAATATCATTTTTTTTTGTTGTATTTCTTGTATTGCCCGTAAGTGCAAAACAGATAAATTGCCAACCCCTCCCTTTGCCATCCATTGTTAATGTTTATGGTATTTATTTATTTATTTATTTATTTATTTATTTATTAATAATTGAATATATTTTTTCGTTAACGGTGTCAACACCAAAAAAAATCAAAAATGTTCATGTTAAAACTTGTGTGTTGTGCCTCAGTTAAAACCTGCTGAAGAAATCCAGTTTGAGAGTAGCTTGTTTTTTTTTTGTTTTTTAGATACTTCGTTCAAACTAGAAAAGCCACCAGAGCGCACTCTCCACTAAGTTAAATCCTCCTCTTCCCCTTGATTTCTCATTCCTGGAAGGCTGCCAACATTATACAGGCTTACTTTCACCACTTCCACCTTTATTCCACCAAAAGGGGGAAATCAAACAATCAGGAGTTACCTGCAGGCAATCGATAAGTGTTACTGCCTGTATAACTTTTTATCTTTTGTGTAAGAAACTGAGAAGTTGTTCACATGAAATATACATTTTTGCCCATGAAATATTACTTACTTCCCTCAAAATAATAATTTGTGCCCACAAAATACTATTTTTTCACGAAAAACGTATTCATGTACAAATGTGTTCTTATGGTGTAACTTATATGTGGCCACAGCATAGGTATATGATGTGCATAAAATTCTAAAACATAATCCTGCTACAGCTCACCTTCTATAACAGAGGAACAAACCAACATGATAGACTAGGATAGTCTGGTGAAGTTTTATTTCAGGTGTAGAATAAACTATAAAGAGATTCTAATTTTCTTTAGTGAGGCTTTAAAATAAAATATTGAAAGCCAGGTATAGATTATGACTGCACTATAAAATAACAAGTCCATTCTATGTTGGTCTGGAACATTTCATATTTCAGTTCAAGATCAAATTGAATGAGAAAAGATGCAGCTATGTTTATGTGATAAGTGATTTAATTAAGCACCAAATAAGTGCATTCATTACTGGTTTTATAGTATTATGTGCATCCTAGAGGCAAGCCCCAATTTGTAACTGTGGGACAGATATGTAGAGAAATTAAAGACAGGAAAAAAGAAGAGAAATTAGCTTCTCTTTGAGTGTGAACAGCTTTAAAATGACAAAAAAGTGTCATGATGGGTACTCTAAGAGTGACCCAATTATGCAGAACACCACTGACGGACACAGGAATAAAAGTTCAACAAGTTTATTTTGTCACAAGCACACTGATTATACTGGTTCTGGTTCGGGCCTGGATACTGGTTCACCGGAGTCTGCGTGAGAGACAGTTCAGTTAGCGTTGTACGTTGGAGCTTGCTTTCTTGATTGTTACTGATTGTACCTTGAGGGTTCTTGTGGTTAGCTTTGGGAGGGTCACTGTTGGATCTGGAGAGGAGTTGATCAGCAGAGTCCGTTTGCTGCTTCAGCGTCTCACTTCTAGTTTTGAGCAGACCTTGGTTTTGGGTTTTCCAGCTCTTAGTCCAGAGCTGCATGGAAGTTCACTGAGGTTCTTCAGGTTTGGCTGAGAGGGTCGGCTCGGCAGGTTAGCTCTTCCTGAGCTCCACAGAGGAGAAACTGGTTTCCTGGAAGACAGAGACAACGGTTAGAATCCAGGCTGGATTCAAAGTCACAAAGATTCACTGAGAGTCTAGGCTTAGGTGCTGACCAACTGGATCAACACTGCGGCGTTGATGCAAGGTCTGAAGACAGCTTATATAGTGGATCCTCTGATGATCTGATGGGCTGCAGCTGTGCAGGAGGCTCACTCAGAAGGATCCACGGCGGACTCTGCTGGAGAAAGGTGGAACTTTTCCAGCTCCCAACAGTACCCCCCCCTCAACGACCGCCCCTTGGCGGTGCGGAAGAGGTCGAAGGGCAGGAACGCTCGTACTCCTCGATTAGAGCAGGGTCGAGGATGTACGAGCCCGGAACCCACTGGCGATCCTCCGGTCCGTAGCCCTCCCAGTCGACGAGGTACTGCCAGCCGCGACCTCGTCGACGGGAGTCCACGATGCATCGAACGGTGAAGGCAGGATGACCATCGACCTCCAGGGCGGGTGGTGGGGAGTCGGAAGGCGGGCACAGAGAACTTGAGATGACAGGTTTAACTTGGGATACATGGAAGGTTGGGTGAATCCGGAGAGACTGAGGCAGTTGGAGAGGGACGGCAGATGGATTGATGACTCGGGAAATCTTGTAGGGACCTATAAATTTGGGCGAGAGTTTTCGAGACATCCCCTTGAGGGGAATGTCTCGAGTGGACAGCCATACCTCTTGGCCTTCAGAGTACTCGGGGGCGGGACGTCTCCTGGAGTCAGCGAAGCGTTTGTTGGTCTCAGAAGATCGGTTGAGGGTTGCGATGGTTTCTCTCCAGATCTTCTGACAGCGTCTGATGTGGTGATTGACTGACTGGTCCGAAATCTCTCTCTCGTCTGCGGGGAAAAGTGGAGGTTGATAACCGAGACTGACCTGAAAGGGAGATTGTCCAGTGGAAGCAGATTTGAGGGAGTTGTGTGCGTATTCGATCCATGTAAGATATTGGCTCCAGTCGACGGGATTGTTGGATGTGAGGCAACGAAGGGTTGATTCAAGCTGCTGGTTCATCCTCTCTGTTTGTCCGTTAGATTGAGGATGGTAACCAGATGTCAGAGAGGGTTTACAGCCGAGTGCAGAACAGAATGCCTTCCAAACCTGGGATATGAACTGAGGACCCCGGTCCGAGAGGATCTCCTGGGGGATGCCATGTAAGCGGAAGACGTGCTTAACTAGGAGCTGGGCTGTCTGGAAGGCCGTGGGAAGTTTCCTAAGGGGGATGAGATGGCAGGCCTTCGAAAAACGGTCAACAATGGTGAGAATAGTGGACATACCTCGAGAAACAGGGAGGCCGGTGACAAAGTCAATCGCTATATGGGACCAAGGACGCGAGGGAACCGGAAGTGGCTGTAGCAGGCCTGAGGGAGGTTGATGTGAGGCTTTATTTCGGGCACATGTGGAGCAAGCCAACACATACTCCTTGACATCTCTATGGAGGGTTGGCCACCAGAAACGTCTTGAGATCAGGGCGACGGTTCTACTGACCCCCGGATGGGCGGAAAACTTGGCTGCGTGCATCCATTGGATGAGACGGGACCTGACAGAAGATGGCACATACACTATATTGCCAAAAGTATTTGCTCACCCATCCAAATTATTGGAATCAGGTGTTCCAATCACTTCCATGGCCACAGGTGTATAAATTCAAGCACCTAGGCATGCAGACTGTTTTTACAAACATTTGTGAAAGAATGGGTCGCTCTCAGGAGCTCAGTGAATTCCAGCGTGGAACTGTGATAGGATGCCACCTGTGCAACAAATCCAGTCGTGAAATTTCCTCGCTCCTAAATATTCCACAGTCAACTGTCAGCTGTATTATAAGAAAATGGAAGTGTTTGGGAACGACAGCAACTCAGCCACGAAGTGGTAGGCCACGTAAACTGACGGAGCGGGGTCAGCGGATGCTGACGCGCATAGTGCGAAGAGGTCGCCAACTTTCTGCAGAGTCAATCACTACAGACCTCCAAACTTCATGTGGCCTTCAGATTAGCTATAGAACAGTGCGCAGAGAGCTTCATGGAATGGGTTTCCATGGTCGAGCAGCTGCATCCAAGCCATACATCACCAAGTGCAATGCAAAGCGTCGGATGCGGTGGTGTAAAGCACGCCGCCACTGGACTCTAGAGCAGTGGAGACGCGTTCTCTGGAGTGACGAATCGCGCTTCTCCATCTGGCAATCTGATGGACGGGTCTGGGTTTGGCGGTTGCCAGGAGAACGGTACTTGTCTGACTGCATTGTGCCAAGTGTAAAGTTTGGTGGAGGGGGGATTATGGTGTGGGGTTGTTTTTCAGGAGCTGGGCTTGGCCCCTTAGTTCCAGTGAAAGGAACTCTGAATGCTTCAGCATACCAAGACATTTTGGACAATTCCATGCTCCCAACTTTGTGGGAACAGTTTGGAGCTGGCCCCTTCCTCTTCCAACATGACTGTGCACCAGTGCACAAAGCAAGGTCCATAAAGACATGGATGACAGAGTCTGGTGTGGATGAACTTGACTGGCCTGCACAGAGTCCTGACCTCAACCCGATAGAACACCTTTGGGATGAATTAGAGCGGAGACTGAGAGCCAGGCCTTCTCGTCCAACATCAGTGTGCGACCTCACAAATGCGCTTCTGGAAGAATGGTCAAAAATTCCCATAAACACACTCCTAAACCTTGTGGACAGCCTTCCCAGAAGAGTTGAAGCTGTTCTAGCTGCAAAGGGTGGACCGACGTCATATTGAACCCTATGGATTAGGAACGGGATGTCACTTAAGCTCATATGTGAGTCAAGGCAGGTGAGCAAATACTTTTGGCAATATAGTGTAGGTTCGGTTAGCTGGACCGTTACCTGGATCGGGTTCTGTAGCCAGGGCGGAGTTGATAAGATCAGTGATCTCCCAGTTAACCACTCCTACAGTGCAGGAAGCCGGAAAGACTGGTTCAGGTGTCCCAGGATGATCGACGGAGTAAAGACGAGAGAGAGAATCGGGTTTGACATTCTTAGATCCGGGTCTGTAGGAAATGATGAGATTAAACCGTGAGAAAAAGATGGACCACCTGGATTGACGGGGATTGGCTTGCTTGGTTGACTGGATGTGAGCCAGGTTCTTGTGATCAGTCCATACAAGAACTGGGTGCTCAGCTCCCTCCAGCCAATGTCTCCATTCCTCCAGCGCCAACTTTATGGCCAATAGCTCACGGTCTCCCACATCGTAGTTCTGCTCTGCGGATGAAAGTCTACGGGAGAAAAAGGCGCATGGATGGATCTTTTGATCCGTGTCGAGTCTCTGGGATAGGACCGCTCCAACACCAGAATCTGAAGCGTCCACCTCGAGGATAAACTGTTGAGCAGGGTCAGGCTGCATTAACACTGGTGCTCTGGAAAATAAAGATTTCAATTTTTCAAAGGCAGATTGAGCCTCGGGGGTCCACTGAAAAGTGTGTTTGACAGAGGTCAGAGAAGTTAAGGGAAGGGCAGTTTGGCTATAGTTCCGGATGAACCAACGATAAAAGTTTGCAAAGCCCAGGAATCTCTGTAGCTGTTTGCGGTTCTCTGGAACTGGCCATTCCAACACGGCTTTTATCTTGTCCTCAGATGGTTTTACCTGGCCGCCCTCGAGCACAAACCCCAAAAAGGTGACTGAAGACTGATGAAATTCGCACTTCTCTGCTTTAACGAACAGCTTGTTCTCCAGTAGTCTCTGTAACACAAGGCGGACATGTCTTTTATGTTCAGAAAGGTTCCTTGAGTAGATGAGTATGTCGTCAATATAGACGAACACAAACACATTTAAAAAGTCTCTGAGGACATCGTTCACGAGGGCTTGGAAACAGGCTGGAGCGTTAGTTAAACGAAAGGGCATCACCAAATATTCGAATTGACCCAAGGGAGTTTTGAAGGCTGTTTTCCATTCATCTCCATCTCGGATCCTAAGAAGATGATATGCATTCCTTAAGTCCAGTTTAGTGAAAACTGTAGCCCCTTGTACAGGTTCGAATGCTGAGGCGAGTAGAGGAAGTGGGTACTTATTCTTTATTGTGATTTGGTTCAAACCTCGGTAATCAATACATGGTCTCAGGGAACCGTCTTTCTTACCAACAAAGAAGAACCCGGCGCCCAGTGGAGAGGAAGATGGGCGGATTATTCCAGCAGCTAAGGATTCATTTATGTACTTCTCCATGGTCTCTCGTTCGGGTTTGGAAATGTTGTACAACCTGCTGCAAGGTAGTGGTGCTCCAGGTAATAGCTCAATGGCGCAGTCATATGGTCTGTGTGGAGGTAGGGACGTAGCACTGACCTTACTGAAGACAGGAGCCAGGTCATGGTACTCGGAAGGAATGGAAGAAAGGTCAGGAGAGGCCATCTCCCCCCCACCTCTAGGAGACCCCACCAAGGGGGCAGCCGAACAGAGGCATGTTTCATGGCATGTAGTAGACCATGATTCCAGGTGACGATCAGTCCAATTTATGTGTGGATTATGCTTCTCCAACCATTCGAAACCAAGCACCAGGGGAGAGCATGCAGAAGGAAAAACAAAAAATTTTATTGTCTCTCGGTGGTTACCTGACAGAAGTAGCTCGAGGGGTTGAGTTTGATGGGTAACTTGGTGAAGTCTTTTCCCGTCAATGGCAGAAACACTAAGAGATTGAGTCAGAGGAATGGTTTCTATTTGGAGTTGTTGGACGAGGTTCGAATCGATTAAGTTCCGTTCACAGCCTGAATCGATGAATGCAGAGAAGGAGAGGCTTTGGTTAGCACAAAACAACGTGGCAGGAAGCAACAGTCGAGGAGATTTCATAGTGTTAATTTGGCCCGCCAGACTCCTCAGAACCTCTGGCGGGCCCAGGCTTTTGATTTAGCCGGGCAGGAAGCGATGAAGTGTCCTCTCTCACCACAGTAGATGCATAATTTGCTCAGAAAACGTCTTTGTCTTTCCTCAGGGGTGAGCCTGGTGTGTCCCACCTGCATGGGTTCGACATCTCTTTCACCAGAATGAGAGGCCTGAATAGGCAGAGGAAGAGACTGGGCCTTAGGTCTCGGTATGGGCAGCTGCTCTGTGGGGGAAGAACAAACAGTCACGTTATGTGAGGCAGAGGAAAGTGTCCCCTGATTTCTTGATTTGGAACTGTTTCTGGCACGGATTCTATTATCCAATCTGATCGTCAAACGAATTAATTCTTCGAGGGTAGCTGGTTCATCGAGAGTTGCGAGTTCATCCTTTATGTGCTCATTTAGTGCCATAAAATAGGCTCCCTTCAAAGCGCTTTGGTTCCATCCGGAAGCTGCCGCTTTAACCCGGAAGTTGATGGAGAATTCTGCCACAGAAGAATTTCCCTGCTTTAAATTGAAAAGAGCTCGAGAGTCAATAGTTTGATCAGTTTCTTGATTGAAAACTTGGGTAAATTCGGAGATGAAATCAGAGTAATAGCAATTAAGGCTATCGTCGGTGGCAAATCTTGCGTGAGCCCACTACAAGGCTCTTCCTGTTAGCTGAGAAAGGATGAAGGTTATCTTTTTATAGTCCGTGGAAAAGCTGCCTGGAGAGTTCTGAAAAATCAAACGACACTGAAATAAAAATCCTTTGCAATCTTTCATGTTACCAGAAAATCTCTCTGGAAGACTTGGGCGGAACTCGGATGACGTCACTGCTGGTGACCTCGGAGGAGGAACTGGACCCGGAAATGGTTGTGGGGCCGGTGCGGCATTAGCCCCGTTCATGTAGTTAGCATAGCTTTGGATAGCTTGATTTTGCCTTTCAATGTGGGTATTTAACTCGCGTAGCGCCAAGCCGTGTCCATGGATTTGGGCCGCCTGTTCCTCCAATCGACGGATGTAGTGTTCTGCTGGGCCTTGAGTTTGGGCGCAGTGTTCTGTCATGATGGGTACTCTAAGAGTGACCCAATTATGCAGAACACCACTGACGGACACAGGAATAAAAGTTCAACAAGTTTATTTGGTCACAAGCACACTGATTATACTGGTTCTGGTTCGGGCCTGGATACTGGTTCACCGGAATCTGCGTGAGAGACAGTTCAGTTAGCGTTGTACGTTGGAGCTTGCTTTCTTGATTGTTACTGATTGTACCTTGAGGGTTCTTGTGGTTAGCTTTGGGAGGGTCACTGTTGGATCTGGAGAGGAGTTGATCAGCAGAGTCCGTTTGCTGCTTCAGCGTCTCACTTCTAGTTTTGAGCAGACCTTGGTTTTGGGTTTTCCAGCTCTTAGTCCAGAGCTGCATGGAAGTTCACTGAGGTTCTTCAGGTTTGGCTTAGAGGGTCGGCTCGGCAGGTTAGCTCTTCCTGAGCTCCACAGAGGAGAAACTGGTTTCCTGGAAGACAGAGACAACGGTTAGAATCCAGGCTGGATTCAAAGTCACAAAGATTTACTGAGAGTCTAGGCTTAGGCGCTGACCAAGTGGATCAACACTGCGGCGTTGATGCAAGGTCTGAAGACAGCTTATATAGTGGATCCTCTGATGATCTGATGGGCTGCAGCTGTGCAGGAGGCTCACTCAGAAGGATCCACGGCGGACTCTGCTGGAGAAAGGTGGAACTTCTCCAGCTCCCAACAAAAAGAAAATAGTATGACCTATCGCTGAAGATGACTCTAAACCTCAAACCTCACAGAACGACTTGAATGATCATTAACTGGATGTTTAATCTAACCTCAAGTGGTCTCAGTGTATCTCCGTCTGTAGTGGTGCTTTACACATGCAGGGCTTTTAATGCTGTGTAATTGGTCCAGCTGTTTATCAGTTTGTTTCTGTTCTCTTACTCGTCTGTACTATTACAGTTTATAACCTTGGTCTTTATCATTCACAGCAGCAGTGATCTCTGGCTCTGACCTGACCAGATATTATTTCTCCTCTGTGTTACTTGCTGCTCAGGGAGCTGCAAAGCCCATAGTTACACATGCTGAAGGCAGAGTCGTTCTGTGTGAGCAGATGCTTTATTTGTGGCCTGGAAGGACATAATGTCAATATAGTATGTATGTATTTATGGGGAACAAATTAATATTTTGTGCACAACACTTAGCATTTCATGGGATCAAATAAGTATTAAAGGGGCAAAACTTAGAATTTCATGGGCACAAATAATTATTTTGTGAACGTTTAACACATGCATTGCCCAATGTCATTTCTCGGGCTCCGTAGGAATCAATTAGACTGATGTCAAAACAATGGGTATTGGCATCCTCTTTAAAAACAACAATTTAGTTTGATCTACTTAATACATTTATGACTTTGCATTTTTGCGTGTTGCTTGTTGTGGCCAAAGAGTATGTGCAATACGTCTTGCTGTAGAGATGGTCTCTGTTATATCAGGTAGGCTAGGATATAATATAGCTTTTATTGCTAACTGTAGTGTGTGCCTTACTAAACCCCTACAACAAGCTAATAAGTGAACGGTTTTGTACGCTGGGGGGTTAAACTTTTCAGTTGGTCAGATGTCAGTTAACTCAGTCCACCTAAGTCGACTATTTCACAAGTCGACCTTTTGGTGAATACCCTGCTGTGCACACAAACTTATTTGCACCTGTTTAGACACACACTAAGCTTTTTAAGATCATGGTCAGTTTTCACATTTTTATCAATTTATAAATTGAAAGACCTTGGTAATCTTTGTTATTTTCTATCTTTTAACAGTCTCTCTGCAATCCTTTTATGGAAAACAACAAAGGTCTGGAAGAATATGAAAAAATACTCCGAAGACTTCATCTAAAAGACCAACATCAACGGACGTTGACATCAGAGGACTTTATTAAAATAGGTCCACCTGTAAATCAGACTAATCACATCTTTGAGGAAGATCTAGTTTCTACTTTTCTTCAGAGGTTATTGATGTTAGATTACAGGGCAAGATACATTCCTGTACAACAAAAAAGTTCTAATGCTAAAGATTCACAGGTTCTTCCAGTGTCTGAAAGTGATTTTACAGGAGATGTTTTAGATCTTCTTTTCACAACTACTGCAGACTCCAATCAATCAAAAGAGGATCATATACACCCAATGGATGTTCAAATGGCAATATTTCACTGCTCTGATAACTTTCTGAGACAGAAAATGATTGCCAAGTTGTCCCAGTGTCAGTATGCTTTACCATTGCTTGTTCGTCATCCTGCAAAGGCAGATATTGAGTATCCTCTCTGGACATTAAGACAAATATCAAAAACATGGAAAATATGCACCAAGGCAGAAAACTCAAACATTGTTGAAATGAAGAGCATGCCAATCTACAAAGCCAAGATCCCCCTTGTTTCATTTTTCCGACTGGGCTCCTTGTCTGTGTCCAAATCTCAGCTGATGAACGCCTTGATCAATGATCGCCACAACACATTCTTCCATAGAAACTGTCCAGGCAGCACAAAATCTCGTCATTTGATGGATGGTGTGGCAGAAATTGCCTGGTACTGCCCTGCTGGAAAATCCAATGACTTCTTTAACGACTGTGTTGCTTTCTGTAATCTTCATGGGGATTCTTTAGAAATGGTCAAACAGCGTGAAATACTGACTGAAATATCCTCAGTCATTGTTGTTCTCATACAAACTTTGGAAATGAGCCAGGAAAGTAAGGCAATCATTTCAATGCTTTTCAAGTCTCAAAAACCTCTGGTAATTCTCGGTGCTGACAATGACTGTAGTGCAGTTCAGATGACACCGCAAAAATACAAACTGGGTCTGAAAGAAAGAAGCCAATCAGATGTTTCAGAAGAACTGAAAGAAATAATAAGAAACATTTTGTCTGGACCCCACAAAAGCTTCCAGCTTGAAACTATGGAAAAAATGACAAATGAAGTCAGAGTGGATGAAGAGGCAGAGGCCTGCCAAAATGGGAAATCTGCTGCAATGGAATTGGTTGCATTGATTAAAAATATGGATATTGCCAAAATAAAAGAAGTGTTTCTCCCCTGCCAAGGCCTACTTTGGTATGAGTGGTGCAAAGTCAACAAAGAACTTTATCATCTAAAGGGAGACATTGAGAAAGAAAAGGCTCATAAAACTCAGCAACTGACGGAACTACGACAGAAACAGTGTGACGCGTCCAATAGTGAACTAATGAAGTCGTTCACTGAGAGCCTTAAAAGTTTGCCAACAAAAGCTGGAGAATATTTCTTGAAATGGAACCGGATCCTGATAGATGCCATCTCCACAGATGATCTATCTTCAATTCTCCAAAAATATGATGAAACATGGTCAGAAGTCTTGGTTCTTAAGAAGAAAGATAAAACTTCTGAAGAACTAAATACAAAACAAGCTGAGCTTGAGCAGTTATCCAAACAGCTTCAATCAGCAACATTTGGTCTTGAGCACATGTTTAGAGAAATGGGACAGATTTATGAAGCCCATAAATCTCTGAAGAAACCAGCAGAGGGACAACAGGCTGAATGGACTAAATACCCTGAACTGGCTGCAGATCTGATGATAAAAGGACACCCAATTGAGCTGATGGATGGTGATGCAGGCCATGTACCTTTGATATGGATGTCTAGTCTTATACAGGAGGTCATCAAGAAGCTAGGTGACCAGAGAGTCTTTGTGCTGTCAGTTCTGGGCTTACAAAGTAGTGGAAAGTCAACAATGCTGAATGCCATGTTTGGATTGGAGTTTGCAGTGAGTGCTGGGAGGTGCACCAAAGGTGCCTACATGCAGCTGGTTAAGCTGTCAGAGGAAATCCAGAAAGACTACAGATTTGACTATATTCTAGTTGTGGACACTGAAGGTCTGCGTGCTCTTGAGTTAGCAGGCAATGTCACCCTTCATCATGATAATGAGCTTGCAACATTTGTTGTTGGTCTAGGAAACTTGACACTGATCAACATCTTTGGTGAGAATCCAGCTGATATGCAAGATATCTTACAGATTGTTGTGCAGGCTTTCATGAGGATGAAGAAAGTCAAGCTTTCTCCAAGTTGTGTGTTTGTTCATCAGAATGTCACAGATATTGCAGCAGCTGTGAAAAACATGGATGGAAAAAGACGCCTGCAGGAGAAACTAGATGCAATGACTCAATTAGCTGCTGAAGAGGAAGGGTGTGCTTTTGACTCCTTCAGTGATGTCATTTCATTTGATGTGCAAGAAGATGTTACATACTTTGCTCAATTATGGGAGGGAAGTCCACCAATGGCTCCTCCAAATCCAGGGTACAGTGAGAGTGTCCAAGAACTGAAGGCCTTCATCCTGTCTAAGGCCTCAAAGTCTGATGGCATTCTTCTGTCACATTTTGGTACCAAGATCCAGGACTTGTGGAACGCCTTGATGAATGAACACTTTGTTTTTAGCTTCAAAAATACTCAAGAAATTGCAGTCTATAGAGAACTGGAGGTGCAGTATGGAAACTGGACCTGGGCCTTGAGAAGTGAGATGCTGAATGTTGAAAACCAGCTTTATCCAAAAGTTGAAAAAGGTCAACTGGACAAAGTTGAGCTCACTGACCTTTCCAATCAAATGAGTAACACATATGAAGAAGTAATGAAAAACATGGAAGCCTATTTTAGTGACGATAAAAACAAAGAAATGCTGGTTCAGTGGCAGGGTCGATTTGAGAACAAAATAAAAGACTTTCATGAGGACATTGTGAGAGACGTGAAAAGAAAACTGGATGAAGTAATTCAGCAGAAAAATGCTCGAAAAAAGCTAGATGACAAAAAGACAACTTTTGAGAACAAGCTGCTCCAGAAGAGCAAAGAGCTTGCTCACGAGTGCCTTGAAGAAGGTGAAGAGGAATTAGAAGCACAGTTTGATGCTGATTGGAATCACTGGGTTAAGGAACTAACGTCAGACACAAAACCTATTGAAAACATCAATTTGCAAAGAGACCAGGTTAATGTCCTTCGAGATCTTGGTTTTGAACAGAAGCTCATTGAAGACTCAAAAAAAACCCAGAGATACAAAAACTTGTTAGAAATTGGTAATTACTCTGATTACATAACAGCAAAGAAGAACTTTGCAGGTTTCTTTGGTGATTTGAAGAAAATGGTTTTTGGATTTAAAGAGCAAGAAGATATCAGATCGCTCATTAAGGATGTTGAAAAAGAATGTTTGGATGCCCTTAAGAGCAAACCTGTTGCAACAAGAGGTTACACATCAACCTACTTGTTAGACATGGCTCAAAGCATTATAAAGCACATAAAAGCATTTGAATCTGGAAGGAATTATGTATTCAAGAAGGAGTTCACAGTTGATCTTTCACTGTTTGTGTTCGACATGGCAGAAAGTTGGCTCTTAAACTCCTACAAGACATACAAAGACAACAATGATGTTCATACTTATTTAGAAACCAAGAAAAATGAATATTACAGCATTTTCCAAAGCTACTGTAAAGGAAGCTCTTCTGCTGTTGTGTTTGGAGAAATGATGTGTAAAAAACTCAAAGCCTCTGCTGTTGCAGCTGTCTGCAACCAGACTGGGGTTAATATCGCTAGTGAGATGAGGAGCAGGGTCCCAGCATTCAATGGGAATAGAGTGAACTTAGAGAAACATTTCTTAAAGAGTATGGCAGAGAAGGAAGACTTTAACAGTTTCATCATCTACTTCAGAAATCCAAGAAAGCAACTGGAAGCCTTTATTAAAGAAGAGGTGGAGAGATACTTGTCTAATAAGGAAAAAATTAATCCTCACACAATTCTCAGCAAAAATGTAGATGACATCAGCAGGGCCATTGATCAGGCTTTGTTTGAGGCAACAGAAGACGTGAAAAAGAAAGGAGGAGACATAGAGATGTGGGTGAAGGAGTTTTCCACCAAATTAGAGCCATTCTTAACAATTGATACCATTAGTTGTCAAAACTTCAAGGACATAAACAACTTTGACTTTCTTAAAGAAGAGATGGAGAAAGGCCTTAAAATAATCACAAAGGAAATGAACAATCTCTCTCTGAATGAACTGAATAAATGCAGGCAGAGGCCTGAACAAATCCTCATTGATCAGTTGTGTAACTGCTGCTGGAAAACATGTCCTTTCTGTTATACAGTTTGCACCAATACTCTAAAGGGCCACAGTCCTGATAAGCACAGTGCTCTTTTTCATCGACCCTGTGGGGCTATTGGTTCCCATTACAGAGGAACAGATCAGCTGTACACAAAATTCTGCACTACAGCTGTAGCAAGTGATGATGGTTTTTTCCCCGATGAATCAGACCGTACAGTTCTTTATAAAGAGTATGCAAATGCTGGAGAAAGATTTGCTGCATGGAGCATCACACCTGATAACTCTACGCTGCCCTACTGGAAATGGTTTGTCTGTCACTTTCAGACAAAACTGGAAGAATACTATGAAATGAAATTCGATCGTCATGGAGAAATCCCTCAGCAGTGGAGAATGTATACTAAGGAAGAGGCCATTAAGAGTCTAGATGCAATGTAAAATCTGGGAGAAAATGTGTCCCTCAAGTCGGAGATTTTCTTGTCAACAGTAATGAGAAATACTGATGTAAGAGATGTTGCAAAATGAATAGAAAAGCATTTGGTACAAACTTCCTGATTTCATTGTTCTGTAAGTTAAAGAAACTAGAATATCTTCAAGAAAACTTTTAAATATTTTTCCTTATATTAATCTCGTATATTGTTGTTGTTTTCTTTGATTGATTTTTAAGTCACTCAAAGATGGGATTAAGAGTTATGATTTGAAGTATAAAATGATATTAATATTGATGGTGGTTGTGTAAACATCTTGCCTATTTATCTTGATGTAATGAACTTATCATGGATTGTTCTTTTTTTGCTTTAAAATTGGATTAATAAATCATTAAAAAATAAATGTATTAATTGCAGCTGTTGAACAAAAAGATTAAATAATCTTCCGGATTAAAATTTTTTAAAGATGTTATTTAATGAGCAACACATTTTTTTGTGTTTTTATGATTAATTTTAGGTTTAAAATCTGAGTGTTTTTTTTCAATCAACTAAAGTGACATATTTTTCAATATTTGGACTTTTCAGCTCTTTGTTTGTTCATGTTGAGCTGTGTTGGGTAAATGTTTTATGTTTTTTTTTCAACTTTAATTTGTAACAGAATATGCTGATCAAAAATGTCAATAAATGCTATAATCAGACTGTTATTTCATTTCACATCATTTATGATACTTAACAGTTGCAACAATATTAATATACTACTTGAACTTCTCCACATATTGTCACAGTACAAATGTAAAAATGTTTTATTGGAATTTTAAATGAAAAGATCACAACAAAGTGCCTTTCAGCTTACATTACGTATACATTATTTGTTAAATGAAATTAAAAAAATCTAAAAAGTTTGGCGTGTAAAAATATTCAGCCCCATTTTCTCTGAGTGCAACCATTTGCATTTAGATGTTACCTGATGATTGCTTATAACTAAAGAGAGTTTACGTGTATGTAACCTAATCTCATTACAAATACACCTGAATACAGCTGCTCTGGGACAACTGTAGAGTTTGGTTCTGAGAACAAATGGGAGCAAAAAACATGAAGTTCAAGGAACACACCAGATGGATAAGGAAGTTGTGGAGATATTCAAATCAGGCTTAGGCTATAAAAAGATTTTCCAAGCTCTGAACATCTCAGTAAATTAACAGGAAATGGGAAACCTATGGCACAACTTTAAACCAACAAAGACAAGGCCATCCACCTAAACTTACTGGCAGAAGAAGGAGAGCACTAATCAGAAATGCCGCCAAGATGCCAATGGTGTCTCTGGACAAACTGCAGAGATCCACAGCTCAGGCGAGGGAATCTGTCCATAGGATAACTGTTAGTCATACACTGCATGAATTGGGCCTTTATGGGAGAATGGAAAGAAAACAATAAAAAGTCCTGCTTGCAGTTCTCCAGAAGCCATGTTTCCGACAGCTAGAAAGGTGCTTTGGTCAGGTGAGACCAAGTTTAAACTTTTGATTAAAATGAAAAACGCTATGTGTGAAGGTTAGAACTACCACTACATATCACTTTGAACACATTACCCCCTCTAGCAGTATATTTTGAAATAATTTGTAAAGTAACACAGTGAAATATTGGATGTATTTGTGAAATAAAACCATAAGATGGTTGAGATCCAAACAGCATGTTTAATTTGCTTGGTAAAAAACCCCATTCAAACACAATGTTTGTCAGGATCCGAGACTTTGCCCACCAGAGGGCGCAATGGATCCAGGCCTGGAGAGTTTGGACTCGGCTTGATCAGCTGTTTCCAGTCCGCTGATTAGGAAGCTTCCTATTTAAGCTGTGTTTGTCTGTCTCTCTGTGCTGCATCGTTTGTTTTCTCTGTGCCACCATGCCTGTCTGAGCCTCTGTGATTCCTCCGTGTTCCAATAAATATTGGACTTTTATTCCTCCCTCCGTGTCTGAGTCTGCATATGGGCTAGTAAACCATCGCATCATGACAATGTTAGATGTTATACTGGTAGATTAATGACATCAGAACAATACTGGAAGGACTGAGGGCCAATCCAAATATTCCCCCTAGCTCTACATTTCAGCCCTACTCCTAAATTTAGCATTTTCCTGTGAGGATGTCAGATGCTGACTTCTTCAAGGAAGGGCCAGAGACAATTTTACAGAAAACATGAAAGACAGGGTATTCTATGGAGCGCCTCGCAGTCCTTTTTTTCACTTTTGAACAAAGAAAGCTGTTGGCATCGGTGTCCCTGGACATCAGAGGTAGGGTGAGGCACCATTCTGGAGCTTAGACAGGAGCATCGGGACATCAGAGCACCATTAGAAAGAAGTCCAGAACCAAGATGAAGCAGCCATTTGTGCCCACCTCTGGAGCAGAGGAACCACAGCGGGAGATTAAGGAGAACAACCGTAGCTGGGCAGATGAGGACCAGACTGAGGTAGAGCAGCGTCTTGCCTGTGCTAGCTCAGAAGGAGCATAGCGATAGATCAAAGTAACCTGAGAGCACTTAAGCCGGATGAGAGGCTATGATTGGCTCGGAGGAGGACAGCAATACACTTTAGAGAAGTACGACAGAGGACCATTTCCCAAAGGAGGCTTAATAAAAGCTCTAACTTGGTTAACCTTTAAATCAGGGGAACTCAGAATTTTCCATTTAACAAAGCAAGATTACTCAACCTCTGTATCAAATTAGCCCTCCTTAAAGTTCCAATTACTGATTTAGTCAGGAGAGTTCTGTTGTAGTTCTGTGCGAACAATAAAAAGAAAACCAGTCAGTAGGTCGGTTAGACACATTAGGAGTTAAAAACAAACATTACATGTCCTTTGAACAAGGATCCAATTAAAGAAGCAGCGCCAATAATTAGTAGAGAATTAAATATTTGTCAGGACAGTGTTCTCAGACTGCTTTGTAGACGTCCTTTCATATTTAGAATCTTTATGAATACTACCGTTTCACCTCACGATTCATTACATAAATCCACAACCTTATCCATCCTCAGATTAGCAGCAGTATAAAGTCTTCTTTCAAATGCATTTAACAGAACTTGATATAATTGAGAGAAAATAGAGGAGTGTGGTAACAATCTTATCATAAAAAACTGTTCAGAGTTTATATTTACTGCGTGATTAAAGACAGAATAAAATGAGGAGGTACCCCATGAGATGATGCACAGGACAATGTTTTTATACTTCATCTTGCCCTGCTGCTAGATGTGCTCCTCCCCCATGGGATTACACCTAAATAAAATGCAATGATCCACTACCATTCCAGTAGTAAACTAGTTTTCCCTCATAATGTTGTCAAAACAGACTACAGCAGGTCAGTTTGACATTTATTTGTTAGACTGAATATGTATTTCTGAAATCTAAAATACAATTCTACGAAGTCAAAATGAAGATTTCAAACAAAATGACATTCTTCATATATACAATACACATTCTTGATGTCTGAAGAGGAATTTCAGATCTGCATATTTCTATTGTTAGTGGTCATAATATTTATTATTTTGACTTGAAAGAAATATGTTTCAGATTTCAGAAATACATATTCAGTGAAGGTGATATATGTGAAAACCGCCACATAGAATGTGACCATCCATCATTTCTGATGCATATTCCATCAGGGTCGCAGTGGGGCATATCTCCGACAGACTACGGGCGAGAGGCGGGGTACACCCAGGGCAGGTTGCCAGACAATTAAAGATGTATAAAAATGCACTAGCACACACACACTAAAGGATACATTAGAGAGTCCTGTTTTTGGACTGAGGGAGGAAGCCAGTTCTTTCATGTCACAGCCACAACCAGTCCATGACTGGTTGCCGCAACATGATTTTAGAGAAAAAGTTCAGCAGTCAACGCTCCTTTCTCTCCATGTGGTGTTGCTGTTGGTCAGCACCTCAGTTCTATCTGACAGCAGGAGGTGAGAGCAGAGCAGTGACAGCTCTCACTGTGGGGAATTCATGGCTGGCCTCACCCTTCAACTCTTCCTCTGCAGTTTGCATAGGGATACCATGTAAATACAGTGCCCTAACTGTGGACACCACACTGAGTCTGATTTCACCATTATACAACATATCATGATACTTTCTGAACACCTAGAGCTCAGATTGATAAACTGATTATTTAATAAATAAATCAAAACTATATAAGAAACCAACTGTCTACAGGCCTGAGCAGCCCGGTCATACAATGCTTATCCACACATGAGCTGCGGCACGCACAAACAAACTTACACTGAGTCAAGAAGACCTGAGACCAAGGGTTAATCCTCCCCCAACATCCATTCAACCAGCCATCAGCTTTTGCATAAGAAGGTGACATCACTAATCAGTAAGATATTTGTTGGGTGGCTGTATCACCAAATGTCCTCATAGTGATATGAAAACATTCAAAATATCTCTAACATCTCTGAACAAGGTTAAAGCGAGCATCTGTAGAGGCATAGGTTCAGTTTTCACCAAACATTTTTCTTAGTTTCACAAAGAAAAAAGCTGAGTCTGACTGTATGGTAGGTCCTCACAGAGATGGAGCAAGGAATGTTTGTCTGTTGGAATTGGACAGATTAACACAGACATGTGGAGGTTGAAGGGGGCTGTTTAACCTCTTAAGGCCCAAGCAGTTTTTTTTACATAGATTTTTTATTTCTCTTTGTTATTTGGTCTTGTTTGAACCCAGTTAGAATAAAAATGAAACATTATATTTCAATGTCAGTGTTAGAGAAAAATAATGTCCACATATGTGGACTCATGTTTCCAAGCTCCATAAAACACAATTAAGTAAACTTTGCATAAGAAGGAAAAAAACTCTTTTTCAGTTTTTTTTCTGACTGCTTTAGAATATATTGATAACAGATACACATATTTTTTAAAAATGTTTTGACTATCAAAGAGTAAAAACAACATAAGAAACATTTGATTTTTGGCTGTTTGAACCATTACATCTAACCAATGATATTGTTTGCCTGTAACAAAGTATACAATAAAAATCCAAAGCATTTCCAACTGTTACTATTGTATCAATAATGCTTTTATGTAAAGCGGAACTGTGCATGTCAATTTAGCTAAAAAAAAAATCAATATTCAGAAATAATAAAGTAGCAACAACAAACTGAAATTTAGGGAAAATCATAACAACTTTTGGCAATTATTTGAAGGAAAGGATGACATCTTTTAAGATAAGCAAAACTGATGATGACAAAATGATCTTGGGCCCATGACAATACTAACTGACTTTTATCTAAACGTTAATGAGTTAGTTGTGCTTAAAGCATGTCAATATCAGGGCCCAGGATCTACAACTTAACTATTTTTAACTGCAAGCT